CGAGCCCGCAAGCCGGGCATGTGCCCTGACCGGGAACCAAACCGCGACCCCCTGGATCCTAGGTCGACACTCAACCGCTGAGCCGCGCCAGCCGGGCCCCATCTTCTGTTTCGATAAGTAATTGTCCTGCAGCGCCACACTCCTGCATGTACGTATTGTCACTGGCTGCTTTCGCGGCGTGCTATCGGAGCTGAGTAGCTGTGACAGAGATCCCAGGGCCCGGGTGTCTAAACGTTTCCTATGTGGCCCACCCCTGAGAACCGAGGAGGAGGAAGGATCTGCCCCTGGGGCATGGGCGGGGTGAGAACAGGTTAAAGGGGATTTTTCTCAGTGAGGTCCGCAGGCACCCTCCGCCGGCCACGCTCGGCGCTCTTCTCTCTCTCGGTTGTTTCCAAGGTCTCAGCCCTGGGTTTACACCACAATGCCCAGGGCGCCCTCGCTATGCCAGGGTGAGCTTGGCCTTCGGGCCGTCCTTCACCTCAGTTCTATTTGGGCGTCAGAACTTCTGCCGTTTTTAAGGAGAGGCAACAGCTGTGGTCTCCCGTGTACTCGGGCATCAGTCGTTTCCGCGCCCTGATGGCCCACAGGCGTGCGACAGGTGGGCGCGGCGCCTGTGAGAGGAGGACTTCTCCCGGTTTCCAGCCGGGGCTCCGGGCTCAGCACCGGCACCTGCACCTGCCTCAGGTCAATTTTTTATTTCGAAGGGGTGAGCTTCCTATTTCTATAAAGACTTCTGCTTCACCAACGGCCCTTTTGTGACTTTTCAGGGTCTTGTTCTCAGCTCTCTCAATGGCTGTCAGGACACTGAGTGTCAGGAAAACGAGCGTGAGGAACTCTCTGGACCCTCACCACGCTCCTGAAGGAGCTGTGTTTTTCAATGGGGGAGTGTGTGCGTTTTTCTTTTTGTTTTTCGTAACGTATTTGTTGTGCACATATTAGATTTTTCAGAAATAAAAATGTGCGGCCTAGCCCTCCCCTGGCCTCTGACACCGGGCGGGGGGATGCTGGTTTTAGAACGTGGTGGGTGAAGGACTTACCCGCAGAAAGCCCTCGCATTCACTGTCCTCGCGGGCTGAAGGACTTGCAACTGGCACGACCAGCCACCAGGGGGGGCGCCTCTCCCCACTGTCTCTGAGTAAACTAAGGAGCGTGTACAGTTTATGCTGCTTTTCCGGTTTTTATTCAAGACGACCAGGGAATAAACGTACACAAGAAGAACGTGGTACTTTGTAAATAATTTCGTTCAATCGCAAAACCGAATCAACAGTATTCTGCACACCGGCCGGCTGTGTGTTAGGACACTCCGTGCTGGACGTCTTTGCCAGGCACCTGTGTGGAAAAGTGCTTGAAGCCCCAGGTGATCTTCTAAAATGAGTAACTTGTTCTTGAAAGACGATTCAACCAGTCTTCCAAAAATTAACCCCTGCATCTAGTTTTTAATGAGAAATTAAAATACCGCCAAAAATATCTTAAAGATATTAGTCAAATGATCACAGATCTCACACCACGCGGTTCCAACATTCTCGGACAGAGATATTTTCACAAATTCAGCTGCACAGTAATAAAAGGTGCATATATAGTTTATGCTGTGGACTGAGATTCGAAAGTGTACTTCCTCTACTTTTTAATGTGTTTTTATTAATTTCAGAGAGAGAGAGGAAGCGAGAGGAAGAGAAACACAGATTGGCTGCCTCCTGCGGTTCCCCCGCCACACCCCCTACTGGGGATTGAACCCACAACCTGGGCATGTGCCTTGACTTGGAATCCAACCTGCAACCTCCCCATGCAGGGGAGGACTCTCAACCGACTGAGCCACACCAGCCAGGGCTACGTATTTCCTTTACTTTTTAACATAACATATGAGTACAGGCTTCAATTTGCTTCAAGAAAGGTGGTCCCAGGTATTGAGAGGTCGCCAGTTCCATGCCTGGTCAGGACACAAGCCCAGGTTGTGGGCTCAACCTCCAGCAGGGGGCGTGCAGGAGGCACCCGAATGACCCTCCTCTCTCATCAGTGTTTCTCTCTCTCCCTCTCCCTTCCTCTCTCTCTAAAATAAATGAAAATATATTTTGTAAATCACCTGCAATTCCACTACTCATGTAGAGTAACCATTATCACTTGGTGAATGCTAGTCCCTCCCTTTCCTCTGCGCATTAAAGTTGCACAGATAAAATTTTTAAAAATGCCACAATACTATACACTATCATTTTTTACTTGAATTAAATTTGAATTTAATTTTACTTGAATTTAACCGAAATGAAACTGAAGGAATTAGAAATCACCGCATTCTTATTCAGAAGAATAGTTTTTTTAGTTGTCCCTGACAGATCCTTCTAAAATTAAGAAACAAGATTATGAAAAATATTGAGGCTTGAATCCATGTTTTGTAACTACATGTTCCAACTTGGGGCAGTTTCTGATATCATTTACATTTTATCCCATAACCATAATCCCACAATTGATGTTTTTGTTTTATATTTAAATGGATTAAAATCTCTATTTATTTATATTTTCCATTAAATTTTATATTAGAGTTTTTTTAGAGTGCTTATTCTCCTGGTTGACTGGATTTTTGCCCAAGAATTTTTTTATTTTTATTTTTGGCAGGTCGGGCCTGCCAGGCTTCGGCCTTTATCAGCACCAGGGTGGCCGAATGTGACATTTTGGCTCATGCTTCTGTTCTCGGCCCTTTTTTAGAGGCGCACAGGCCGCGCCTGGCCTTGGGCGTCCCCGAGTCCAAGGCCATTGCCATCGTTCCCGGGGAACAGACGTCTTTACCCTCAATGTTTAGGGCGCTCCCAGCAGAGACGCTGGCGTTCGCCAGCCCTGGTCATTTCTCCCTGCGCGGACCCCCACCTGGCACCTCGGGCCTCCCCTGCAGGGGGCGCCCGCCTCGCCAATACTTCCCCTCGGGGCCTCTCTGGGCTGCTCCGTGCCCCTCGGGCTTGGCTGGGCCAGTGAAACTCCCCCATCCCCGCCCCCCCTCCCGGTGGCCGCGTTAGNTTAGCTCCAGCCCCCGGGGGCACAGAGCCCAGGTGAGCAGGCTGTCCCCCCGCCCGTGGGAGGTAACAGTATCCCTGGTGGGACACCTGGGCACCATTCATGCCCTGTGACGCCCGGGACCCGGACGGCGAGCTCCCAGGGGAGGGGCGCCCCTTTCCATCCACATGACTAACCAGCAATGACACACGGATTTGGGGGTGCAAGCTGCAGGGGTTGGACGGGTCCTGAGCGCACAGACGACCGGGCAGCCGGCCAACAGGAAAATGCAAATTTGACGCGCCGCGCGCTCGAGGTCTCCCAGGAGCTGAAGCGCGGCCCGGCTGGGGGTGGAGGACGGTGGGAGGAAAGGGGAGCCTGCGGGCCGTGCCAAGGCCCG